GGCACAGTGGTCTTCCATTGGAGAAACTATTTCTCCAACCAAGGTCCATGTATGGATATAACCTAGAACCCCTGCTCGGATATAGCCCATGGTAGCCCAGTATCCAAGTGGGTTCTCTAGTAAGGGGAACAGGGACTATTTTTGACATGAACTCAATGGTGAGCAACTCGACCCCCCCCCCCAGGGAGGAGCAGCCTGGCTAGGCCACAGAAGAGGACATTGCAGCCATTCCTGAGGAGACCTGATAAGCTAGGGTCAGATGGAATGGGAGGAGGTCCTCCCCTGTCAGTGGACATGGAAAGGGGCATGGAGAAGATGAAAGAGGGAGGGTGAGATTGGGATGGAATTAGGGAGGGGGCTACGGCTGGAATACAAAATAAATTACCTGTGATTAATATAAAAAATAAAAAATGTAAAAAATAAATAAACACTTTATGACTTAAAAATTTAACCAGAGAACACTTACAGCTTATAAAAGTTTTCAGCAAAATGACTGCACACAATAGTAATTAAAATCAGTAGCCCTCCTGTATGCAAATGGCAAATGGGCTGAGAAAGAAATTAATAAAATTAGACCCTTCCCAATATCCACAAATAATAAAAAAATATCTTGGTGTAACTCTAACCAAGCAAGTGAAGGACCTCTATGACCAAACTTCAAGTCTCTGAAGAAAGAAATTGGAGAAGATATCAGAAGATGGAAGGATGTCCCATGCTTGTGGACCAGTATGATTAACATAGTAAAAATGGCCATCTTACCAAAAGCAATCTACAAAATCAATGAAATCTCCATCAAAATACCAATAGTTCTTTACAGACCTTGAAAGAACAATTCTCAATTTCAGATGAAAAAAACCAAAACAACCCAATACAACGAAAGAATATCTGGAGGTATGTCCATTCCTTACTCCAAGCTATACTACAGAGCAATAGTAATAAAAACTGCATGGTACTGGCATAGAAGTAGACTGGTTGATCAATGGAATCAAGTAGAAGACTCAGAAATGAGCCACATATCTACAGACACTTGATTTTTGATGAAGGAGCCAAAACTATACAATGGAAAAAAATATAGCATCTTCAACAAATGTTGCTGGTCTAACTGGATGTCTACACTTAGAAACATGAAAATAGATCCATATTTATCATTCTGCATAAAACTCAAGTGAATCAAAGACCTCAATATAACATCAGATACACCAAATCTCTTAGAAGAGAAAGTAGGGAAGAACCTTGAATTCATTGGCACAGGAGACAACTTCCTGAACAGAACACCAACAGCTCAGGCTCTAAGATCAACAAAAAAATAAATGGGACCTGGTGAAACTTCTGTAAGGAATAGGACACTGTCAATAGAAAGAAATGATAGTCTACAGATTGGGAAAAGATATTCTTCACTAATCCCACATCCAACAAATGGCTAATATCCAAAATATATAATGAACTCAAGAAATCAAACACTAATAAAAAAAATAACCCAATTAAAATTGGGGCACAGAGCTAAACATAGTATTCTCAACAGAGAAATCTGGGGGTTTTTTTTAGTAATTTAAATTGACATATATTTGTTTTTTTTAAATTTTTCTTTATTGTTTTTTTAAATTTATTCACTTTGTATTCTGGTTGTAGCCCCCTCTCTCATCTCCTCCAGGTCCTACCCTATCTCTCTCCTCCCATCCCCTTAGTCCCTCCCCTAGTCCACAGAGAGATGAGGACCTCCTCCCCTACTATCTGACCTTGGCCTATCAGGTCTCATTAGGACTGTCTGGATCCTCCCTCTCTGTGACCTAGTAAGGCCACCTTGCCAGGGGGAAGTGATCAAAGAGCAGGCAACTGAGTTCATGACAGTGACTGTCCCTGCTTCCCTTACTAGGACACTCACATGGAGACTGAGCTGCCCATAGGCTACATCTGAACAGACAGTCTAGGTTCTCTCTACACATGATCCTTGGTTGATTCATCAGTCAACAGAGGAATCTTGAATGGCTGAGAGTACTTAAAGAGATGCTCAATGTCCTTAGTCTTCAGTAAAATGTCAATCAAAATGACTCAGATTTCAATTCAAACCAGTCAAAATGACTAAGATCATAATCTCAAGTGACAGCATATGCTGGAAAGGATGTGGAGAAAGAGGAATACTCCTCCACTGCTGGTGGGAGTGTTAAGATGTATAACCACATGTGAAATCAATCTGGAACATTTTCAAAAAATTGGGAATTGCTTTATCTCAAGACCCACCTATACGACTCCTGGGCATATACCTCAAAGGTGTTTCACCATACAACAAGGACACTTACTCAAGTATGTTCACAGCAGCTTTAGTCACAAGGTCCAGAATCTGGAAACAACCTAGATGCCCCTCAGTGGAAGAATGGATAAAGACACATAGATTGTGACACATTTACACAATCAAATACTACTCAGTTATTAAAAGCAAAGAAATTATGAAATTTGCAGGCAATTGTATGGAACTAGAAAAGATAATCCTGAGTGAGGTAACGCAGACCCAGAAAAACACACATTGCATGTACTCACTTACAAGTGGCCTTTAGCCATGTAGCAGAGGATACGCATACTACAAAACACAGACCCAGTGAAGATAAGTAGCAATGAGGATCCAAGAGAGGATACACAAATCTCACTAGGAAGGTGAAATAGAATAGACAGAGGTAATGGTTGAAGACAGGGAACAAGATAGGAGGATAGTGGGCAAGTGATGGAGATCAAACTGGGGAGAGTGGGGGTGAGAGGACAGAAGCCTGTGGAGAAAAGGGAAACTGAGGGTGGGAAAGCTCTGTGACAAGCTGGAGACCTAAGTCAGGATAGGCTCCCAGGAGTATATGAGGGGGACTCAAGTAGAGACTCCTAGTAGTAGAGGCCATAGGGACTGAAGAGGACAATATCTAACTAGATTAGTCTCCTAGTAGAGGAAGAGGAACACCAACACACCTCCAAATTTATCCTACCTAACAAGATATGCAGGAATAGAAATAGAGCAGACAGAGCAGAGATTGAGGGAATGTCCAGCCAATGCCTGGCCCAACCAAAGACCCACCCTATGGATGAATGCCAACCCCTGACATAATGATGCTCCGCTAATCTTGCAGACAGGAACCTGTCAGAGTTGTACTCTGAGAGGCACTATTCAGCAGTGTCTCAAATCAGATGCCGAGACTCATAGCTAAACATTGGGTCATGCATTGGGAGTCCTGTGGAAATTTGGGAGGAAAGAGAAAAGAACCTGCAGGTGACAAGAGCTCTATAAGTAAAACAACAGAGCCAACTAACCAGGCACAGAGGGGCTTGTGAAGACTGAACCAACAACAAAGAACTGTGCATGAACTGGACCTAGGCCGCCTACAAAGATTTACCTGAAGGACAGCATAGGCCTCATGTGGGTCTTCTAGTAAGGGAAGTGGGGACTGCATCAGACAAGGACTCTGTTGCCAGCTTTTTGTTCACTTTGCCCAGGCTGGACTGTGTTACCAGGCCACAGGGGAAAAGGACATGTTCAGTTTTGATAAGACTTGATGAGCTGGGGTGCATGGGAAAGGGAGCTCACTTTTCTGAAGGAGGAGAGAGGGGAGGAGAGAGAGAGGAAAAGAGGGTGGAACTGTGTGGGGAGGAGAGATGGGGCTACAGCCAGGGTGTAAAGTGAATAAAACATAAGAAAATCGTAAGGCTGTTCCTGAAGAGCAAATAATCTTTGACGTCATATTCATGATTAACATAAGTATTTTATGTTAATAATGTGAAAAACTTTGACTAATTGTAAATTCTTCAAATCACTTTCTGACATCAGCTTTGATAATTTATTATGGAGTAAAAAGAACACTTCATGAAAAATAAAATTTACCTAGCTATGTAAATTCCATTCAGCATTTAAAATTATGTTACTGATGGTGGTAATAAGGTTAAAATAAAAAAAAAAATACGTAATTGAGACAGAGAAAAGTTTTGACAAAAAGTTACCACTTGTTAGTGACCCAAACTCTTCATCATGAACACTCACAGTAAATTAGGAACAGAGAATCTCACGAGTCAGAATATCATCATGTACCAGAAGATGGAAGTTAGCATTATACTGATTGCTGAGAAAGCAGAACTTTTGCATTAAATACTGAAGAAGGCAACAGATTTACCCCTCTTGACATGTTCTAGCTTTGTACTTGAAGACTTAGTTAATACAAAACGGAAGCTAAGTAAAAGAACACTTCCAGGGTTGGTAAAAATAAAACAGAAAAATGCCACTCTAATTGTTTGAAGACAACATGATTGTCTATGTGGAAATTCTGAATCATTGTATAATAATGCATGCTAGCAAGGTGATTTTTGAATGATTAATCTTCATGCCAATTTCTTTTGCATATTTGAGAAACAGACAGCAGAAAATGAAGGGAAACACACCAATTTCAAGCATCACCTCCCACCCTCTCACCCATGATGTTACATTGCTTTTTTGAAGATGTGTTTTTGAGGTTATATAAAGTGGTCAGGGACCCCTACAAATCAAGGATTTGTGTTAAAAGAAATCAACTTCAAAGACCTAGTCACACTGTTTTGCCAGATAGTTCTTATTACACCAGTGTGGCAACATGGCCTTACATTTCAAGAGAAAGTGCGTGAAGAACATATGTTGATGACTGAAAGGTTGGAGGGTCATGGGGAGAGATTCGGGACATTATAGGCAGAGCGATCTTTCATTCTTGGCTCTGATTTTACTCATCATTTTTGTTATTGAGTCAGCTTCTTTGTTTCTAGTCCAACAGAGACTCCAGCCCAGAGAATGTAGCAGTTAATAAAATGGAAAAAGACACATGAGAGAAAGACAAAAAGAAAAATGTACCTAAATGAGGACACACACCAGGCAGATGGGAGAGCAAATTCCCCCACTTTATAGATTCAGAAGAGAGATGGTTTAGGTAGGAAAAGCCCACAGGGGTAGAAAGACAGTAATTCACTTGCTGAGAAAGGATCTCATTACAACTCTCACACCTTTATCTGCACACAAAACACATCTTCTCCCTGGACTTTCTTTCTCAAGTGTTCCTCAATATAAATAAGAACTGGATTTTTGTTTTCTTTTACACAGAAAGCTTTGGATCATCAGATTTATTTCCCAGACTTTTCAACCTTGAAAGATGCAATTCTTGCTCCTCAGAATATCTTTCAGCTCCATGGTGGGTCCAACTCTGGCTGCCCCAAGCTTCAAAGACCAGAATTCCAAGGACTATGAGGACAATGACAGCAAGTCCTATCCTGATGAAATTCCCCGTTGTGTGATCCTGGTTCTCTGAGGCTGTGGATTTAGAAAAAGAAGTTACAGAGGTTAGGAATGGTAAAAGTTTCCTCATGATAACTAAATGGCCACCCAGAGCCCCTGCCCTCCCTGGACACAACTTTGTTCCTCTAAATCTATTGCTAGGATTTTGAAATCTCTATGTTTGGGGCCAGAGAGATGACCCAGATTTTAAGACATTGGCTGTTCTACCAAAGGTCCTGAATTCAATTACCAGCAACCACATGTTGGCTCACAACCATTTCTGGTGAGATCTGGTGCCCTCCTTTGGTGAACAGGAGCACATGTAAGCAAAACACTGAATACGTAATAAAATTTTTAAAAAAATCTTTAAAAAATTCTCTGTATTCAACTGTCTTCGGTTTGGGCATGTTCTAGCATGGACTGATGGCCTCAGCTGATCCAGAGAACAGAATAAGATGAGTAGGATGTCTACATGCCTAGGAGACCTGAGTGTTTCTTCTGAGATTCACTTTATCATGTATTGTAAGTGTCCATCATTCTCATCATATAAGCCCATGAAGGTCTGGGATGAACATTTCCTCTGGTATAGCTGGGTTTACTTTCCTATTCTTAATAGATTCTCCAGGACCACTGTGCTAAAGCAAAAGCCAGTGACTTACCAGTGGAAACAGCAAAGTCACAGTACAATCAGTTGATAAGTCCTTCTGGCAGTGGTCCTGGAGACACTGCACTAGGCAGCCACTGTATCATTCTGAGTGTGGCATCTCAGGCGAGCTCATCAGAGGCTGTGCAGACTCACATCCTCAGTCTGTTATTTTGATGAGTGCCTCCTTTGTCACACGCAGCCCCTCTATCTCTCCTTTGATCTGAGCATTTCCCTGGTGTGTGTGTGTGTGTGTGTGTGTGTGTGTGTGTGTGTGTGTGAAACAGAAATGAGAGTAGATGGTAAGCCACTGGCTTTCACCTATTAGTTACCCCAATAACATGGCTACCTCACAGTAAGCACAGTTCTGAAGACTGACATAACAAACTCTTTTGTAATCTTAACAAATAATAGTTATTGAGACAGACTGTACTGACTACTGTAGTGTGAGAAGAGAGTGGTGCAGGTTTCCCATCTCTTTAAAAGGCTAAAGGGTCTTTTAGACAGGTAGCTTGAGAGACAGACACTGAAGCAGGAAGCTTCTGGCGAGCCAGTGGAATTGAGCGGGGGCCTCAGAGAGCATATAAAGAGAGCATAGTAGGCTTTGTAATTATTGCGGCAAGGCTACCTCCTCCTGTGGAGACACAGTGGGACATGACTGCACTGAGAGAATGTGACAGGGATCCTGTAAATGCTGGTAAGTGGAGGGTGGTGGGATGAGGTTGGAACTGGAGACCGCTTTCTGCTTAGTATCTTGTGTGTGTTTGTGGACTCCCCAAGACGCTCCTCCAGACTACCTGAAACCTCTGGATCCCATTAAGAGGGAGTGCAGTGAGCATTTCTAGAAGGATTCATGAAGCCTCCACCATCATGTGGAAGAGGATCCTTCTGACTGACACTCTGCAGCAAAATGGAGAATGCTGACACCCCCCTTCATCTCAGAAAGTCTGTATCACCTTGCTTGGGACCATGAGCTTCACAGGGTCACCAGCACACACTAACTGGCATAGAGAGGAGGGGACTGTGACACTTGTAGGTGCCCTCGGGTGTGCAGGTCAAAGAACTCTGGAAGAACACTAGAACTATGCCTCATGACTAGATGGATGGAGCCTGAAGGGTCTACTTTGCCATGTGTCCACCGCTGCCACATGTCACCACACTGTGGGAAAGACCCCCTGCAGAATCAAGTTCTGGAGCCTCCCTGTGTCAGGAGAGGTCACAGCCATCACCAGCACAGAAAAAATTAGACATGTGTGTCAGGCTTCTGCCCTATGACCCAAAGAAATAGAAGCCCAGAAAGGGAAGGTTTGTGCAAGTCAGGATCTCCCGGAGCAGATTTATCAAGCCCATACCTAATTCTTTAAATCTGGGCCCCACCTGCCAGCAGAGTCTCTAATGTGTCTCTGGAGCCTGACTCCATGCAGGTGGGACATTTGTTCTCAGGGCCACAGGGGCAAGACAACAGGTGAATCTCTTGGTTCCTTGCACTTCCCCTCACCCACTTGTCCTACCTTTCAGGCTGAGTTTAAATTTCCCTGTCTGGATGCAACCTTCTCTAGCCCAACCTCTAAGCATCGGCTTCTTGGGTCTTTGTTGGGATCTCAGATTGCCTCCCACATTCACAATCTGAAGTGACAGACAAATGAGGACTTTGGCGGGCTAACTCCTGCCAGGCAGCCTTGGGATGAAGCATACTCTTTGCACGGAGGTGCCTGATACTTACCAGCTCCTGGCATGGGCCTTGAGGGAGGTGGGCTGGAGGCACCAATGGGTCCTAGGGAACAGAACAAGGAGAGGATGACAGATGTAAAGCCAGGGATCCTCACTCTTCTCACTCCATCTACCCTGCCACCTCCTAAAGATCCCCGTGTTGCCAACATGGATTGCAATAGAGGATGGAATGGACATTACTTGAAGGACCACTGCTGCCATCTGCTTCTCTGCTAGGGGAAGTGTCTTCTGATTAACCCTTCCTATTGTCTCCTATCCCACCAAAGTCAAGAGCCCCCATAGAGTGTGGCTTGTGACTCACCCTGAGATGTCAGGATCACCCTACCTGAGACTGTGAGCTCCACAGGGGCACTGGCCTCTGACAACAGGTGGGGAGCTGAGTCTTGAGAACCATAGCACCTGTAGGTTCCTGTGTCGGTGTAGGTCACTGCAGTCATGGAGAATTCTGCATGCCACTGGTATTCTTGGGACTTTGATCTTAGTCGCAAAGGTGGGTGGGCTGATCCCTCCTTGGACAGAATGAAAGTGTCCACACTGTACATTGACTGACACAGCAGGGTCACGTTCTCTCCTGAGAGCACTGTGGAGTTGGGCTTCACTGAGAGGGAAGGAGTGACACGGAGATACCCTATGGAGAAGAGGGATGATGAGAGGCTGCCTTCCTTGTTCTGAGCTGAACCCTCACCTGGGTCTGCTCTGAGGACCTGGAACTATGTCTCTTTTCTCTGACTGAGCTCCTCTCCTGCTCCTCTGTCTCTGCATCTGTTCCTGCCTAAGATCCCTGTTCCTCATCCCAACCATGAGCTCCTAGGCTGCCCCATGAGAGCCTGAGCAAAGGCCAAGTACCTGACTGAATCTACTCAGTTTCTCACCTGTGATTAGGATGTCCAGGGGGTCACTAGAGGCTGACCATTCGGAGGAGAGGTTGTGTGCACCATAGCATCTGTACTGGCCTCCCATGTCTTGTCTCACATAGTCTCGTGTGAAGTTGGCCAAGAAGAGGCCAGCCTGAGTCCGCTGGCTACAGTGCTGGGTGAAGTCAGCTTCCCCCACCTTGTACAGAGCAAATCTGTCATAGCTGATGTCAGAGGAACACTGCAGTGTGAGGCTCCTTCCAGGGTGCAGGATATAGCCTTGCTGAGTCAGCAGAGAGGGCTTCTTGGACAGGCCTGGAGGGAAGGTGACAGGCTAGAGACCGTGGAGTTGGCTGTTTACAAGGCACCCGTGCCCTCACATCCTGCCCTGCTCATGGCACTGCTTGTTCCCAGGCCTGGGGTCTGGTTCAGAAACCAGCTCTCCATTTACTCAATCTCTACCTGCAGCTCCCCAGAGGGGCAAGCCTGGGGCAAAGGGCTTCGGGTCTCAAAACTGATTGGTGAGGAAGGTGCTGACTCACCTGAGATGTGTATTTCCAGGGGCTCACTGGGCTCTGACCACAACTGTGGGGTGTCCTTGTAGTAACCGTAACATCGGAATGTCCCTGTGTGGTTTGGGGTCATGTGTTCCATAGAGAAGAGGGCTTGGTGCTGTGAGGTCGAGGGTATATGCTGTGTGTCCAGGGAGCTGGGGAGCTGCTGATCTTCCCTGGTGAGAATGAGCTTGTCGTATCTATTCCATGAGACACACTGGAGAGTCATGTTCCCTCCCAAGGTCACCACAGGGCTGGGCTGGGCTGACAGGCTGGGTTTACTGATGTAGATTCCTAGGAGAGAAGGAGGCAGACTCACATGGGCTCACACAGCCACAACATTCTCCAGGGCTAGTCCATGGGAGGAGAATACTCCTGAGAGCAGCGAGTGAGGCTGAGACTCTGACTGTCCCCTCACCTGTCACCACCAGTTCCAGGGTGTCACTGTGCTCTGACCAGCCAGCCTTGCTGTAACAGTAACAGCGATATTGCCCTGCATGTTCCTCTCTCAAAGAAGGGATGAAGAACTTGGCCTTGTTCCCAGGTTCCTCTGGGGTCTGTATGTTCCAGGGTTTTGGGTTCCCATCTTTATGCAGAACATATATTTCTGCCCCCAGAGTACCCTGACACCAGATGGTCATGGAACTCCTGAAAGCCATCACAGAGCCTGGCTCAGCCTTGAGGATGGGTTTGTGGAGGTTCCCTGCAAGGAAGTAGGAGAGAAGGAGGTGGGTCTGTGTGAAAGTGGCAGGAGCAGGTCACAGCTGGAGATGGCACTTGGGCTGATCCAGAGTATCAGAAAGCCCTGAGAAGACTCATCTTTCCAGCCATCCTGGGTTTCACTCTCATTTTCTGTGCTGGAATCTATGTCTTGGGTTCCACTGTCTTCCATGCTCTGTGCCAATGATCTAAAGAGCCCTAGATCCTCGCATACATCACACCCCAGGCCTCCCTGAGCACCTGTCATCTCACCATCATTCTATGGAAATGCTGTGGCTGCTCACCTGAGACCAGGAGCTCCAGGGCGTCACTAGGATCTGACCACAGTTGTGGTCTGTAGTTGTCATATCTGTAGCATCTGAATATCCACCTCTGGCTGGAGTTCACCGGCCCCACAGGGAACAGGGCTTGGTAATTCTGAATAGAGTAGTTATACTGTGAGTTCTGCCTCCATGAGAGCTTCTGTGGTCCTTGCTTAATCAGAATAAAAATGTCATATTCCTGCCCTGAGACACACTGGAGGGTGACATTCCCTCCTGAAGTCACCTCAGGGCTAGGCTGGGCTGACAGGCTGGGTTTCCTGGATGCTCCTAGAAGAGAAGAGGAATCAGTTACATGTGTCAGGCCTTATTATCGTCCAGGCCTGTGAGGTGATGGGAGACCACTGAGAGCAGACTGACTTCCTAACCGAGAAGCTGAGGATGGTTTCCTCTCACCTGTCACCACCAGCTCCAAGGTGTTGCTGGCTTCTGACCACCTATAATAGGTAACAGAATAGTAACAGCTATATGTCCCTGCATGGTTCTCGTTAACGTATGACATGCGGAATTCAGCCTTCTTCCCAGACTCCAGTAGAATTTGTGTGGCCGGTGTATATGGATGTCCATCTTTATAGAGACTGTATTTTTTGGCTCCTGTGGTTCCCTCACACAGGAAAGTTACCTCAGTGTACTTGGAGACCACAGAGTCTGGCTGTGCTCTGAGGACAGGCGTAGGGAGGTTCCCTGCAAGAAAATGAGTAGTTAGAACCCAGGGCATCCTTCCTCAGATTGCAGTCCTCAACACCATGACCCTCCAGCCTCCTCCAGGACTAGCACACATGTGGATTTTCCCATCCCCACTGCCCAGGCATGGCTCTGGGATATGAAGAGAAGAGCAAGTCAGGACAGCGCAGACACTCACCTGCCAGCACTGGGGTCCTGAGGTCAAGGGTCAGTCCTGGAAGAGAGTTTCCTGTGAGAGGTTTGTCCCTGAAGCTTGAGGAGATCCTCCCTTCTGCTGAACCTCCTGAGACCCTGGGGTTTCCTGATGGGTGAGTGCTCAGCTCCAGGCCAGGGTCATGTCTAGACCACAGTATCCCTCCCCCTCTTCACATCTCACCCAGACAGAGCAGGACTGTGAAGGTGAAGGTCATGGCATCTCCTCCCAGAGGCTGCAACTGTGCTTGAGAGCAGAGCTACAGAGCCTGTCAGGAGTGACAGGAAACAGAGGGTGTGGCCCTTGGAGGCAGGGCACTGCTCATGACATGGTTGTACTTCAGCAGCCCCACAGGAAGGGGAACTGCTGTCCTCAGCACCAGGCGCTGACTTCCCCATTGCTGTGACTAGGCCAGGCTGTAGAACCTCTGCTCTGCAGTCATTTTCCACACAGATGACGTTTCCACAACCCCATCACAGTCTGCCTCACCTGTCCTCATCACACTCAGGGCCATGTTGCAGCAGACATGTATGTATATTTCAAACAACAATATTAATTTACATGTGGTTTTGCTTAGTTCATTGTCACATTTTTTTGTGTGTGAAATAGTTCCTTCCTTTCAACCTTTCTCAATATTTCTGAGGAGCATCTAGCTGTGCATATCTGCAAGGAACGAAGCTTATAATCTTCTCCTCGTAGTCTCAAGTGATGGGTTAAAGTGTGCACCACCCTTTCTGTTTGTTTGTTTTCTGATGTGTGTACTTTCCATAGAACTTTAGATTATATTTGTTAATTCATCTATTCATGTTTTTAGTGTTTGTGTGTATTTACATACATACATGCATGTGTGTCAAAGGACAGGAATGGAGGTCAGAGGCCAATCTCAGTAATCAGTTTTCCTTGCATAATGTTTCCTGTCCATCAGATTTGGTTTCTTTTTTTTCTAAGTTTTTTTTAAAAAAACATTTTAATTTATTGATTATTTTTTTTAACTTTATTTTATGTGCATTAGTGTGAAGGTGTCAGATCCCTTGTAAAGGGCATTACAGACAGTTGTGAGCTGCCATATGGTTGCTGGGAATTGAACCTGAGGCTTTTGGAAGAGCAAACAGTGCTCTTAACCACTGAGCCATCTCTCCAGCCCCAGACTCAGGTCTTGAAGTTGCCAGCAGGCACCAAAACACTCAGCCATCTCACTATCTTAACACACATCAGCATCATTTCTCAAGTCCTTCCACTTCAGTCAATTTTTGTTTTTGGTCCCAGCTGTCCTGGGCCAAACAGAGCCCCAGGCTTATTTGAGTTTCTGGGACCCAGGTTGTTGGTGTGGCCGCCATTCTTCTGTCAGTCCATCACACAGTGGAGCTGGCACGGGCGGCATTGTGGGCAGCACCGTATCCTCTCGTTGCAGTTGTAAACCAGGAGAAGCCAGCACAGAAGTGGCCTAGTGATGCAACCACACAGGGGCAGCCCAGGTGCAGGGTGGACTCTCTCTGCATGTTGGCGTCAGTCAGGGTTCAGTCTCCCTCCGTCTGCTGCTGGCCAGTATCAGCAGCTGGTGGTGCTTTGGTGAGATGACTTCTTGGTCCTGGATCATGGCCTTGGCATCCTTAGTGGTGTCACTGAATTCAACCTCGAGGGTGGTGGACTTGCCCCTCAGTGTCTTTCCAAAGATTTACAAACTGGTGTTTTCACGGTGCCACAGTTCCAGTAGGAGAGCTCAGCATAATGATTTTATTAACTTTTGTTTCTGTTGTTAGGGATTGATGGCGGAGCCTCCAATACTCTGGGCACATTCTCTACCTGTTAGCTACACTCCAGTTTTATCCTCTAAATTTGAATGTTTGGCCAGCTAATTATTTTCCTTTGTTAATCTCTTTTCTTATGCTTATAGGTGTAATTATTTTTGTTGTTTTGAGTCAGGCTCTGTCAATGAAGTCGTGGTTGTCCTGGACTTGGTTATGTAGACCAGTCTAAGCTGGATCTCACAGAGGTCCTGCCGTCTCTGCTTCCCAAGTGCTGGAACTAGAGATGTTGGCTACCACACCCAGCAAGTCTTGGAAAATTTCGTATCTGTATATACTGTGTTTACTGAGTCTTCCTCCATCCTCCTTTCCTTTTCCCTCAGCCTCTCTTTCTGGGTCGCCTCTTTACTAACCTGAGTTTCTGGTTGATTCTTTCCCCAATCAGCAGGTTGTGTAAACTGTGCTGTTTAATTTCATGCATCTGCGGAAGTTTCCATTTTCCCTTTCATTTATTGAGTATGAGTGTCATTCCACTGTGGCTGAGTGGATTCTTGATGTGAGCTCTTCTTCCTAATGCAGAGACCTGCTCTGTGACCCTCGGTGACCTGTCCTGTGAGAGAGTCTCGTTGGGCACTCTGGGTTGGTAGGCTCTTGCATATTTAGCGCATTTGGTCTGAAGTGTTGCTCCTGTTGGCGGCTGCCTTACTGATGCTTTGTCTAATGTTAAAGTTGCAGTAGTGGTCGGTACTATCTCTGCCTCTTCCTGAATGTCTGCCGGTACATCATTTTATGTGGGTGTCTATGTGTTAACTATTTAATTTTAGATTTATTTATTTTGCAGTGATGTGTAGTTTGCCTGCCTGTGTACATGTCCACCATGTGTATGTCTTGTGCTTGTGGTATTCAGAAGAGAACATTGGATACCCCGGGACTGGAGTTACCAGTGTTTGTGAACCACAATATGGGTGCTGGATCCTGATGTTGGATCCTCTGCAGGAGCAGGAATTCTCCTTAAGCAAGAGCTGTCTCCCTAGCACCATTATATATTCATGTTAAAATCACAGAGTTTATTTAATTTTTTGTCCTTATGAAGTAATATCATTTTCATAGTAAAACAAGTGTGTTACTCCAAATTCACACTAAAATTCAAATTTATGCCTGGTATAAAAACTTTACTAAAAACTTTTTTATAAAAACTTTACTAAAATACCAACTTTCTCTTTTTTCTCTCAATTTTAGGAATTAGTTATTTGAGAATTTTAAACAATGTGTTTTGAGTTAACTTTCTCCCGAACTCTTCCCCAATCCACTGCCTTTCAAACACACTTAACTTTTTGTTCTCTCTTACTTCCATGATTTCTAAATTGTGTTGTTTTTATATACTTTGGCATCCTATCAGGGGTCACACCCTCAGTGAACATTGACTCTCCCTCTCCCAGGAGCTATTATATGCCAATAGCTTCTCGCTTATGGGTGGAATCCTCCATCTCCATGCTATATTTGGTTGGTATTGAGCCTTTGTAGGGCTTATAGTTGCTGTCTTAGAACTGTGAGCTCATATGTGCAACTTCTCTGCATTCCCTGAAATGAGTTTCCTTCTGGTCATCCAGTTTGGGGTTTTCATTTTTTCAGCTCCCTCTTTTGTACTAATCCAACACTAGGAGTGTAATTTTTAAGGGGAATTCTCTAGTTAAGCATCTTTCACAGGATCAGCCCAGGGTGTGCTTTTATCCTGTGTATCACATGGAGAATTAGATAGAAGTCATTCAGTACTTTTCCCCTTTTTACCCTGTGCAAAACCAAAAACCAAAACCCCAAAACCATGATTTTTTTCTTTCATGTCAGTGTATACATGTCATTTATTAAATCAGAAGAATGATAAGTTGGCAGAGTACTTGTCTGGTATCCCCAAAGGTGTAGATTTGTTTCTCAGCTCTGCCCAAATCTTATGTGATGGCTCTTCCTGTGGTTTCTGCCCTCAGGATATGGAGTTAGGAAGATTAGGAATTTGAGGTCATTATGCAGTGAATTTATGGTCAGCTTGGCCTATGTAAGGACATGTCTCATAAAAGGAGAGAAGTTCCCGAGGAGTATGGGATGGACATGGTTAACTCCATGTATGTATCTAACTTCAAAGAATTAATGAACAGTATACTTGCTATAAAGTTTCCACATTGGAAGTATATCCCAAACGTTTTATTATATCCAGTCTAAGGGACTGTTCTGTACCCAGTCCCTGCATGTTTTGCACCCCTGTGACCTGCCTTGCGCACTGTGACACATGGCAATGGTATTTCTTCACTATTGAATTTATGTCCAGCTGTTCTTCCCGACCTGATAATAAGTGATGGGTCATGCTGTATGAGCCAGTAAGACTTGTGTTCAGTGCAGTGAGCTCAGTCACAGGATCCTCCCCACAGGCATGAGTGTCAGCAGGAAGATATGCTGCCCTTTTCTGGTTAGATGAGCTCCATATGATGAGCATGCCTCAGATGACTGATATGCACACATGGCGTCCCAGCTCCAAGACTCAGAAAATGTTTTCCACAAAATCATAGAGGAAAACTTCCCCAACCTACAGAAAGGGAGAACTATAAACACAGAAGTAGCTTACAGAACACCAAATAGACTGGACCAGAAAAGAAAATCATCCAGCCACATAACGATCAGAACACTAAATATATAGATCGAAGGGCGAATATTAAAAGCTTTAAGGGAAAAAGGCCAAGTCACAAATAAAGGCAAACCTATCAGAATTACATCTGACTCTTCATCAGAAACCCTAAAAGCCAGAAGCTCATGGTAAGATATCTTATAGACACTAAAAGACCACAATTGTCAGCCCCGACTAGTATATCTGGGAAAACTTTTAATCACCATAGAGGGAGAAAACAAGCTATGCCAAGACAAAAACAAATTTAAACAGTAGCTATCCACAAATCTAGCCCTACAGAATAGTAGAAGGAAAACTGCAACTCAAGGAGTCCATCAACATGAAGGAAAACACAGGAAATAAATAATCACATATCAGCAAAACCAAGCGAAGGAACCCTCATACCACATACTCTACTACCACCAACATCAATATAACAGGAAGCAATAATCATTGCTCATTATTATCACTCAACATCTGTTGATTCAATTCACCAATAAAAAGACACAGGCCAACAGAATGAATAAGAAAACAGGATTTATCAATATGCTGCATACAAGAAACATGCCTCACCAATAAAGATAGACATTTTTTTTTTCTCAGAGTAAAAATCCCGAGAAAGATTTTTCAGTCAAGCAGAGCCATGAAACAAGCTAGAGCAGTCATTCTGGTATTTATAAAATAAACTTTCAAGCAATCAAAGAGTTGAGGAAGAGATGTGGTAGGTGACTCTTAACATTTAGTATTGATATATCTTCTGGTAATCCTGCTGTTGGTCCTAAACAGCTGTATAATCAAATCAGCACACAGAGACTGGGTTTATTTAGTTAAC